CGCCCCGCCCGCCCCCAACAAATACAAATCTCATGCCAAGGGCGCATGCGCCACCCGCCACCGCCGGGGCCTAGCCCGGCTATCTGGTCGACCTAGTGACGGCCCCCCCCGCCCCGCCCGCCCAGGAGTCCGAGCTCAGAATCCTGAGCCTCCCGCAGCAGGGTCTCCGGCTCCTGCCTCTTGCACTCTCCACACTGCACCCAGCACAGCACTCACCTGAGTGCACTCACATGACAGTGGCTCCCTGAGGCTCGCTCTGTGCCCTGAGCTGGGCACCTGGACACAGATGAGCAACACACCGTGGCCCTCCAGGCGCTCACGGTCTAGTGGGGTATGGGGGCACACAGAGCATCGGGGCAGGTCCCTGGCTAGGCCTCCAGCCCCAACTCACCCCTCCTCCTGCTTTCTCTAGCCTCGGGCTAGTTCGCTCGCAGTTTCCTCTGCTGGAACATTCTTCCTCCTCTTATCTATGACCAGTTCAGGTTCTTCTCTGACCTCTCATCTTGCAGGAATATCTCCTTCTCTTCCCAGCCCCAGCCCCTCCCCCAGGCCCATCTAAATTCCTGCTCTGGCCACAGGCTCCAATTGCACCCTCTCCTCCCCGCACAGCAAGGGTCACGCTTTGGCACAACTGGTTGTGGAATCTGCCCGTCTCTCCTCTGAGACTGTCAGCCCCAGAGGGACAGCCCTCTCTGGGTTGCCCCCCAATATCCGTTTTCAAAGCAGTGTGCCTGTCATTTATAAATTATTTTGTTCATTCGTTCAGCAAATATTTACTGAGCCTTGCTCTGTGCCAGGCACAGATCTAGCCAGTTGGGATGTATTGGCGAATGAAACAGATGAATAAAACTTCCAATGGGGGGCCGGCCCCATGGCTTAGCGGTTGGGTGCCCGCGCTCCGCTGCTGGCGGCCCGGGTTCGGATCCCGGGTGCGCACTGACGCATTGCTTCTCCGGCCATGCTGGGGCCGCGTCCCATATGCAGCAACTGGAAGGGGGTGCAGCTATGACATACAACTATCTACTGGGGCTTTGGGGGAAAAATAAATAAAATTATTAAAAAAAAAAAAAAGCTTCCAGTGGGGAAGGACAGACAGTAACTAACCACTCATCAATGAATCAAGATATGCAAGTTTGTGAGAAGACGATAAAGGTCGTGGGGAAAAGTGGAGCATGACAAAGGGGAGAGAGTGCGGCGGTGGGGTCGGGCTGTGATTCTAGACCGGGCAGCGGGGCCGCCTCACTGAGACAATGATATTTGACTGAAGTCTTCAGGGCAGAGAGGGGGTAGCCGTGGTGATACCCAGGGAAGGGCATTCCTGGCAGAGGTAACAGCCAGTACAAAGGAGGAGCATGCCAGGTGGGCTCCAGGATCAGCAAGGCCTGATCAGCTGGAGTGGTGAGTGTGAGGGGAGGGCAGAAGGATGTGTGTGTCGGGTGGGACAAAGAGCCACACAGGCCATTGTAGAGACGCTGGCTTTTCCCCTGAAAAAAATGAGGAGCCACTGTAGTGTCCTGAGCAGGGAAGTGGCCTGTTTGGACGAATTCATCTGCTTCTGGAGTGAATGGATATTTAGGCTCCATGACACAGAAGCACAGGGCCCAGAGGAGCCAGGGGAATACCAGACTCCATCCAGGGCATCAGGGAGGGTTTCTCCAAGGAGGTGACACTTGACCAGGGCCACGTGGGAGGAGAGCAGGAGGGAGGAGCCTGGACAAAGGCACAGTGGAAGGAAGAGCAAGCTGTAGGTGACACAAGGTCTGCGCGGTGGGACACCCGGGCTGTGACAAGGCCAGCGGAGGGCAGGACGTGAGGGCCTTGAATGCTGGACCAAGTGTCTTGGAATTGACCCCGAGGGCGATGGGGAGGCCTGGTGAAGCTGCGCTCTGCTCCTCGGGGTCCCCCTCGCTGTCTGCCCAGCAGGGGCCTTTCCTCCAGGGCTGGAATCACGGTGGAATGCCCTGGGCTGCACTCAAGCCCGAGCTCCCAGCACGGTGGGCTTCTGCCTCCCTGTTCTTTCGGGCTAAGCTTCTAGGGTCGAGGCCCCCACGCCACACGCACCAGGCTCAAGTGCTGCTCTTGATAACTCAACAACTAATAAGTGGTACGGCCTTGGGCAAGTCTCTTCTCCTCTCTGAGCCTCAGTCTCTCCATCTGTAAAATGGGATACCAGTAGCTCCTGCTCACCATGGCTGGAGAGAAGATTGCCTGCGCCTGGCACACAGCAGGTGTCTAATAAATGCCAGGCGGGTTCCTATGGGCCTGGCCTTCGGAACTGGTGACCCAGAGCCTGTGTGGGCTGGAGGAGGGAGCCTCACCTGGGACGTGTCATGGTTGAAGATGACGGCGTTGAGGTCCCCGCAGTTGTAGTGCTTGATGAGGTCCTCCGTGGTGTAGGGCGCCTGCAGGCTCCCGGCCCGCACGCTCTCGTGCTGCAGCAGGGTCTGGTTCAGGGCAAACAGCACCTGGGGGAGGAAAGAGACAGGAATAAGGGCTGTGCTTGGGGACCTGGGGGAGGTCCCTGATACCTCCGGGACCACGCTCCTGCCTCTGGACTGGGGGCACCAGGCCCTGAGACAGAGAAGCTGTGTGGGGCCCGCACCAGCTCCTTACTCACTGGCCCCTGAACACGCTCAGCCTGCTCTCATCTCCAGCAACTGCCCACAGCTCCCTGCTCCTTCTCTGGGTATCAGCATCTCATCTAATAATGTGGCAAAACCAGAACCCTCGTTGTGTCTAGGTTTCGGGATGATGGGTGAGTTTTTCTTTTGACTCCTTTCTTTTCCTGTGCTTAGAAAAGTTCTAGAATGAGCACAGACTCCTTCTGTAATCAACAGCAGCCCCAGACAAATCAACAAAACAAGCAGAAAGCCCACTGCGATGTCAAGGCCCAACCCAAGTGCCACCTGCTCCAGAAGCCGTCCCCACACCAGGAAAGGCCCTGGGAGCTGGGCCGTCTGCGTCAGATCATGCTGGCACTCAGCATGTTTCCTCTAGCTCCTCTGTGCTCTGGGCCACCATGCCGGGCCTGGGGACACAGCTGTGCCCCGGCCGACCTGCCAGGCATCAGGGTCACTGGGAGTGCTGTACAAAACATCAGATGCCCAGGCCTCACCCCCAGAATTGGAATCTCTGAGGTGAGCCCAGGATCTATATTTTTTTTTTTCCTGAGGAAGATTGGCTCTGTGCTAACATCTGTGCCCCTCTTCCTCTATTTTGTATGTAGGTCGCTACCACAGCATGGCTTGATGAGTGGTGTAGGTCCATGCCCAGGATCTGAACCCGCGAACCTGGGCCACCGAAGTGGAGCATGCAAACTTAACTACTCCGCCACCGGGCCAGCCCTCCAGGATCTGTATTTTTGACAGGCTCCCCAAGAACTTCTTTACAGTCCGATTGCTTCTGGCATTTGAGGACCACGGCTCTAATGAACACGGCCTGCCCGAGGTGCAAGGGCCCTGAGAGATGGTCCAAAATGTCCCATTTTAGAAGGAGAAACTGAGGCCCATGAGGGGAAAGGACTTGCTCAATTCTGCACAGCTGGGACTGCCGCCAGCTTCATGTGACTGTTTCCCAGACTCCCTTGGCCAACAAAAGGGAAGCACCTGACCATTATTTGAGTTATTTAGCAGATATATAGGGGAAAACTTGTTGCAATTCTTGTGCAAAACGTCAGGAGGGGTTCAGGCCACCTGTCCCTCCTGTTTCCCCATCAGTCCTTAGGCCCTGCTCATCCTGTCTGCACACAGTCTTGGACGGCAGCCCCCAGCCTCTTGGTCCGCACCAATTCAGGCCCAGCATCTCTTGCTGGGTCCACTACAACAGTCCCTCCCATCCTCTCCCTGCAGACCCCCTCCCCTTCCACTTATTCCATATTCTTTTGCCACAGTCATTTTTTTTTCCTCCCCAAAGCCCCAGTACCTAGTTGTCTATTCTAGTTGTAAGTCCTTCCAGTTCTTCTATGTGAGCCGCTGCCACAGCATGGCTACTGACAGACGAGTGGGATTCCACACTGGGATGGAACTGGGGCTGCTAAAGCGGAGCACACCAAACTGCAACCGCTAGGCCATCAGGGCTGGCTCCACAGTCATTTTTTAAAAGCACAAATCTGATGGTCGCTCTCTCTCTCCTTTTTGCTCAAAACTTTCACGGGTGCCTCCCATCCCCAGGATAAAGGCCTAGCTCTTCAGTGGAGCCTGCAACGCAGTGACCTGGACCTTGCTGTCAATGACCTTGTTTCCTACCCAGCCTTTGTGTCTCCAAATGCTCAACTACTCAGCAATCTTCTGTCTCTGCGCCTCGTATGTGCTGTTCCCCGTGCATGGAAAACCTTCCGCCTCCGTTCTCCACTTTTGAATTCAGATTTGGCCTTCCAGGCTCTGCTCAGATGTCTCCTCCATGGAATTTCTCTGATTGCCTGGGGTCTGGGTGAGGCCCCTCTCCAGGCCTCCCATGGTCTGTGGCAGATTGATATGGTAATGGCCCAAATCTTTGCCCCCCCTATATTCATGTCCTCGGCCACAGAACTCTATAGCTCCCTCCCATTCTGACTCTGAACTTGCTTTATAGCCCAGGCGATGTTAGTAACTATTACAAACAAGGCCTGAAAAGCACCTGGGTGCATCGGCTGCCCCTTGCACCTCCACTGTCACCCGGAGAGCAGCCCAGGCCAGCCTACTGGAGGATGAGAGACACATAGGACAGAACCGAATTGCTTCAGTTGTCCCCCCAAGGCCATCCCAGACCAGCCAACAGGGAGCTGCCTCCCAGACACGCAAGTGAGCCCAGCCAAGCTGAGCAGAGCCTACCCGCAACCGGGCCCCAACACCCGAGCAAATGCTCACGGCTGTTGCTACACAGCACAGTTGCAGTGACAGATAAGTGACCCACGATGCTTCCCTCCACCATGGCGGGAACATTAGATTATACCTGCTGTTTAGCTACCTGTCTCTGCCATTAGACTATGAGCTTCTTGAAGATAGGAACTGCATCTTATTCATTTCTGTACTTGTAGCACTCAGCATGGGCCTGGTAAGGAGAGGGTGTCACCCCATCCTTTCCTTGGCACTGTGACACCTGCAGTGGTCACTCCATCGTTCATGGCTGCTCGTCAAGCCCTTCAGGTTAGCCCCTGGGACTTTGGCACTCAGCTGCATTTGGAGCACGCTGCCACCACGTGGCAGAAGTTCCCACCAGTGAGTGACATCAGCCATGGGTTTAGGAACACATCGTCGGAAGAGAAAAGCTCACGGACCAGGCACACAAAGTCTGCCCAAAATAGTATCATGGGCAACCGGGCCAAGCTCGTGCTCGTGGGAGCTCCTCCGCCCATGCCCTCCCGCCTCTGTCCCTGGCCGGGCAGGGGAGCTGCACTGCACTGGGATGTGGCAGCCCAGGCTGCTCCCAGTAACGTAATGAGCTGCCTGGAGATGAGGTCAGATCCCACCACCCCACCTCCGGGCATTCTCCAGGCTCTGGCCGCCGCCCCTGAAATGGGATCTGCAGCCACCTGGTGCAGGGTGTTGATGCAGCATGGTGGCTGGGGATGGATCACAGGAGGCAGTGGCCCTGTTGCTGTGGACATTGCTAAGGCAACAGGCATTTCCTCCTACACGGCACATGCCTCGGATGAAACCGTCCGTGTCGAGCTGGACTGCTCTCCTCCCCTGGGGAGCTGGGATGCGCAGGCTTCCTGTGACCACACCCTGTGGCTGCGCACATCTGCCTTGCTGCCTCTCGGGCCAGGCATCACCTGGCTTGTAGTGAGGTCATTGGCTCAGGCACCTAGAAGACCCGCCTGGAGGAGAAACGGCTCCCCTGACCTTCCTACACACACGGAGTCACTTCCGCAGTCACACGGCTCTCGTGGAGCTGGGAGCTGGGAGCTGGGAAGCACAGCACAGCACAATCTGCAGGGTGCTGAGAACAGTCCTGGCATGTAGAACGTGCTGGATAAAAGCTTGTTAAATAAAACTTGGCAGAAAATAGTTAGACTTGAACCTTCCCAGTTGGAGCTGAAATGGCCCCTAGAGGTCATCTGGTCCAGTGGTTTTTCAAACCTTTTTTTAGCCATGGAATCTCTTTTTGTTGTTATTGTTTTCCAGAGGAACCTTACTTGGAACTCAAAATGTGGAGCAGATAAAAATGGAAACTTCCCTGATTGATGTAAGGGGGGCAGGCTGGAGCCTGAAGTCCTGTCGGCTCAATGCCCGCCTGCTGCAGGGTCTCCCAAGGTTTCTCCGGGGAACCCATGGGTGCCCCGGAGCTCAGTTTGAGAACCGCTGATCTCATCCTATGCCTTCTTCATATAGAAGAGGAGAGCAAACAGGGGCCTAGAGCAGGCAGGATGGGGCTCGCCCAAGGCCACACAGTGAGCTGGGGCCAAGTGGGCTCAAACCCGTCTCCCGCCCCGCCCCCCCCACTCCCGCCGCAGGACCCTTTACAGTGCCCTGGATCACGTCTGAGCAGGATTCCTGGATGCCCACTGGCACGGTCCACGTTCATCCCACACATCTTGCCATACCCATTTTCTTTCTTGTGAAATAGCCAGGGGGTATTTATTATTAGCATGTTACAGCTAGAAGACTGAGGCCAGATCACTCCAGAGGCATCCCCAGCACAGCCAGAGTGTTGTGGGGCGGGGAATGAAACCCGAACCTGCCATCCTGGACTCCCCCCAGCCCTGGGCAGGGTTTGGTGCCTTGCACAGACCCCCGTGCTTCCCTTGGTCTTGGCATTTATCCCCCTGAAGGGTCCATTCCTGTTCCCTGCCTGTCTGGACCGAGAGCTTGGCGAGGGCCAGGAGCCTGCCTCTCTGTTCACCGTTGACCAGCAGACACTCAGGAAGTGCTTCAGAAGGAAGCAGGCTGCCCTGACCCCGTGCCCCTTCCCCTACGCCTCCCACCTCGTGCCTTCTGTCCTCTGCTCTTTGAGAAGTGGTCCTCGTCCAGTCATCACAGGGATCACTACGTTTATTGAGTGCTTACTGTGTCAGCAACCTTCTAGGCTCAGATGAATTCATTTAATCTTTACAGCAACTCTGAGCTAAGTCTAGCATTAGCTCCATTTAATAGATTAAGAAAAACACACAAGTTCAGCAAAGAGACAGTAAGTGACTCTACGAAGGTGACGCAGGTGGAGATGGGTGGGACATGCCCTTGGACCCCGGCTGTCCAGCCCTGGGACCCGTCCTCTTAGTTGACCACTGCCCATGGGGGCCTCTCTCTGCTCTCCCTGAAGAGAGCTAGCGGGGCTGGTGTCCCTACTCACAGATGGGAAAACAAAGAAGCAGAGGTGAGGGACGGGCCCAAGGCCACATGGCTTGTAAAGGACAGAAGCTGGGGCTTGACATTACGTCTGTCTCCAGACCAGGTTTCCATGACCAGGGCTTCAAAGTAATATGTGCTCCTTCACCAGCATTCTTAGTGCTTCCAACAGACATAGGGAAGCTACATTCATTTATTCA